TTCCTTTCTCAGAGGCATCTGAGCACTCTCTCTTTTCCGGTACCAAAGACATCAAGTTAAAGACGAGCAGTTCTGTGCTGATCAGGGACCAAACAAAAAGCATGAGACACTTAAACACTCAAATACGAGGAGCGTGAGCAGAACTTAGTCAGAGGAGTTACCGAGCGATGAAGGCAGGTTGCGGAAAGTGGCTCCGGCTAGCAGCACTGCCGACTTGGTGGCTCAGGTGGAGGGGGCTGGGCGTGCAGAGGGGGTGTGTGTGGGGTGCCTTGGAGTCAGCGTCTGACGCCGAGCTACTGCACAGATAACAGAATAGAGCACTGTGCAGTCCTGACCCACCTTTGCATTGTTGCTGGGTTTGAGACCATTGCTCCACATTGGAGTCCACTCCACTCCGAAGGAATGGTGACTGGTCAACCTTGAGGGCAGCTGTTGGGAGATGGCCACCGCAGAGTACTTATGATCCCCAGCGATGCAGCTCCCTTCAAAGACCCAGAAAGGAGAGCAAAGACTTCCTCCTCACTCTCCTGCGTCTCAGCGGAAAGCTAGTGAACCATGTATATGTATACACACAAACTCTGTCAAGAGCAAAGGCTCACTATACATAACACTGTTTAATAGCTCGGCCACTGTGAATGGGGAACGTTTTGCTAATTCATCTACAATGCAAGCAGGGTCAATACTCTTGTTATTAATGGAAAGTGTGAACAGACCATTTACATTCCAAGCTGAACTGAAATTCATCTTTTCAGTATCTCTTCTTGTCTCCCCATTGCTTAAACCTTGGTAAATGTGACATACAATAACAAATGTGCCACCAAAAAAAATATGTCCAGGGGTGCCCAAGATCCAATAATTAAGAGTTGGAGAAAAGCTGTCAGAGCAAATGACGTGAGTGGATTACAAGCAGTAAGGAATTACACCAGTGTAGGGGATGGGGCAGTTCTAGTGCATACAGAGACCTACATGATTCTCAAAGCTGTCCAATTAAGTGGGTGGATCAAAAACTCAAACCAAACTCATTGCTTCGAGGCAATTTTGAGCCCTAGTAACCGTACAGGATAGAATGTAGTGTACACCTGAGTGTCCAAGGCTGGTGGTTTTGAACTGCAGACCTTGAGGTTAGCAGCGCCAAGTATAATCCACCATACAACCAGGATTCCTTCAAGTAGGTGGAGAAGCAGAAAAATAGAGAAAGCTTAGCAAGGAGGGCCGTCTGAAGGGTTTGTACAGTTCACAAAATAAGCAGAGAGAACATGGAACATGAAGCCAACTGGAGAAGGGATGGTCTGCCTCAGACATCAATAATTCATTTATTGGAAACAGGAGTAGTTGCATGAAATGCCAGGAGACAGTTTCATTTGCAGGGAGGGCATTTTCTACCTTAAGTCTAAAACAATGGCATCAGTTTTACATGACAAGCCCGTATGAATGGAGGGACGGGCTGGATTGGAGGACAGGTTTTTACCATCTCCTCTGATAATGCTATTTCTTCCCCATCGAGAAATCATTTAGGTCTGACAAGCCAACATTTGGGAACCTAACAAAGTAACAAGAATTTTTATAACTTTTGCGCTTCAGAGGTAATTTCCTTCACCCCAAAGCTCTGACATTACATAAATGTAATCAGGCAATACTAACCGGTGATTTGCATACAGTTTGCAGGGTCCTTTCTCTCTCAGTACAAGAGTCCTTCAGGCTTTACACCTTCTTTCTAAGTCGTCTTCCAATTCTCCTTCATTAGTTAGTAGCCTGTTTTATTTTATCGTTGTATTCCCCAGGCAGTTAATACAGAAACATTTGCCAAGTAAGGGTTTCAGAGAATACTGGTGGAAGGAAAGGGCCGATGCCACCAAGTCTGAATTAATTCCAAATATGCTCGGAAGCCCCTGGGACGGGCTGCCCAGCGAGGAGAAGGGACAGGCACCTGTGTGGAGGCCCGTGGCTGTGATGAGCATCCCTCAGTCTCCCTGGGCCACGGCAAATGCAAGGACTCACGGTGCTCTGTGAGATGGGAAATGAACGGAAAGAAATGCTGTGTAGCCCGAATGAGCCAGAGCACCCAATCTCAAGTAGAAAAATCTATACAGTTCTAACCCTATAAATAAGGATTTCCCAGTCTTAATTACATTCAAAATGCTCAGATGCAAATAAATGTTTAGGTTCACAAATAGAAAGCATAATGACAAGAAGAACAGCTCTTACTTATCCAGCATCTATATACGTAAATATCAAACATAACAACCCCCCCTGGGGCAGCAGCAGCAGGGGCTGGGGTGGGGGAGAAGCAGCAGATTGAAACATAGGTCAATTTCCCTGCGAGGATAGTAACTCAAATCCACTAATGGTTCTGACAGAGAAAGACTAGCTGAGGTTGTTCTCCCAGTAAGGTTTAGTCTCAAAAACCCTGCAGAGGGAGCAGTTCTGTTTTGTCTAAGGTGACCAGCGGGACAGTCTGATTTTTGGTGTTTTAAAAGAGTCTTGGTTTTTGGAAAGAATGCATGACAAGCTAGGGAACAGTCTATTTGGTCCATATAGACCAAATTTTTAATCAAGATTCCCCCCCGCCCCCCCTATCAATGGTGTTCTGCTTTAAATCTGGTCACCTTAGTTTTGTCCTTTGAGATTGCTGTGAGTCAGAATGGGCATAATTGGTCATCGGTGTGTTTTTTTTTAAATCAATCACTGTGATGAAATATGAATTATGTGAAGGGAGATGTCGGACAGTGTGAGATATGACAAAATAATAATAATTTATAAATTATCAAGGGTTCATGAGGGAGGGGAGTGGGAAAAATGAGGAGCTGCTACCAAGGGCTCAAGTAGAAAGCAATGTTTTGAGAATGATGAGGACAACAAATGTGCTTGACACATGGCTGTATATATGGATTGTGATAAGAGTTGTAAGAGTCCCCAATAAAATGATTTTTTTAAAGAAATATGAATTATGCTTGAGGTCTTACATATTTTATTGTCAATCTCTATCTGCATTATTGTCTCTTTTTCAGAAACTTAAAGAAATATGCAGACATATATAAACCAGGCTGTGCCATCAAGTCATTTCGGACTCATGGTAACCCGACAGGACAGGGTAGAACTGCCCCTGTGGGTTTCTAAGACTGCAATTCTGTATGGGAGTAAAAAGTCTACTCTTTCTCTCATGGAGTGCATGGTGGTTTCGAACTCAGGACCTTGCGATTACAGCCCAACTTGTAACCACTATATCACCACAGCTACCTACGTACATATATAGAAACCATGTAGTTAGGCCCAAAGGCCAGACAATTAATTAGGGGGAGGTAGGGCTGAAAGCAAAGGGTTTTAAACTACAAATCCTATTTCCCAATGCCAGACCTTAAACAGAATTATTTTCTCACGGGAACCACACATAAAAAGAGATGTAGGATGTGCTGGTGCTGTACATGCCTGCATTCTCAAACTCCCACTACAGTCAATGAATCATGGACCCTGCTTGGAAGGCTACAGAAGCGTCATCAGAAACACCTGGAATAGGCGGGACACTCTGGAAGACCGCACAGACCGGGCATTGCGTAGTGCTCTTGTAAGTAGGGTCGATGTGAGTCAGAGCCAGACTCAAGGGCACCTGACAACAAGCAGCACGATTCTTCTTGAATAAAGATATTTGGGGAAGCCAACTTTAAACAGACTATGGATGCAAAGAGAAGTCGCTGTCCAGGACGCAACTGATTTTCAGTTTTTAGCTACAGATTCCTTGGTTCCTCAAAATCTTCTGCCGAAGTAAATGTTGAACATTCACAAGATCTAGACTTCCCTATACCAATTTTCCTGTTTTTCTTTTCTCTACACAAATTTTGATACATTAGAATCCCATCCCACTCTTTTTATAAATGAGTCACTGGTAAAGTCTTCTGAATGTGATGCCTGACCGTTGCCCTAAATCCCCGTGGATTTGGCAGAGTGCAAATTATTTTTAGGAACACAGATGTTGTATGATAGCATACTATTGAGAGCTTCAAATTTCTTCTGTAGAGTGATTTGTGCTAGTTTTCAATGTAGACTGAAATATAGTAGCATACTTCGAAGCTTCTGTAGAATTTCTGTGTGGAATACACTAACTTTAAATAAGATACACTAAATAGTAATAACTAGGTAGACTGGAAATGGGCCGTAACAAATGAGCAAAAATTCCCTCCCCTAGTATTCTGAAACTAATACATGTAAGCAAAAAGTCAAAGAATTACCTCGGAGAAATATTGCCGTAGAAGAGGGAGTAAAAAAGTTAATTAACATGACATGGAGATTGGAATATCTACTAATCTTTTCAGAAACTGGGTCATTTTCAGCAAAAAAAAAAACACCCTTTCTTTCTTAAAACTTAGAGTGTTACATGGTGTTATTTCATGAAAGCACATTTTCATTTCTTTTCACTAAAAGTACAGGACTAACTAAACCATGCATGTGGCTAAAGGATTTCTGTGCCTCATGACTAGATGCAATCCATTTAGGCAGACCAGCTGTATTTGTGGCAATTTGAATCACTAATGGAAAACACAATCACTGTAGGGTAGGGTAGGGTAGGGTAGGGTAGGGTAGGGCAGGGCAGGGCAGGGTAGGGTAGGGTAAAGCAAAGGGAGAATCAAAGAAAGAAAGTCCTGACAGATTTCAAAGACATTTAATAAGATTTGTGGGGTTAAATAGAAGAGACTCTTTCGGGTTGGCCTTCTGTTTAACACCCCAAACCACACACAAAAATGTGCCACCCGACAATTGTCTTGTGAAGGCTAAGCCTTCCCAAGCCTACTCTTAGCCCTCAAAATGCTGACTCATCCTCCACAGCTCCCTGGTTCTCACTAAGGGCCCCACCCTCTATTAACCAGAAGCTTCAGTGGAGATACGGTTGTTTATCTTGGAGCAACTTAGGCTTTTCCAAGAAAATACTTCCCTCGGCATGTGCAAAACACAAAGTTCCAGGCAGGTCTTGCCAGACACACTCCAACCACCCCTCACGTGGGCCTTACTTGTTCTCATTGCTTGCATCATAGCGGGGCATTGGATCCAAGTCATTCCCATTGACATCGAAACTTGCTAGAGCATCCTATGGCCACGGAGGAGAGAGAAAGGAAAAGAACAGTCCTTAATTTGTCGTTGAGCTGCGGGCTCCTGCATTTGTAAACACACTTCTGCAGGAGAGTAATTGGGTTAACAAAGACTCTCATGGCTCTGTGGTGTCAAGGTACTTTGGGGAGGGATCCCTTGTCCAATAATAAGCAGTGCTGTAGTTTGCCCCTCTGAGGGAAGAAATACTCTACATCGACTATACAAGTTCCTGGCTGGTCCTCATTCTTGGTAATATTTTCCTATCATATCTCACCTCATACCTACAACTGACTGCACTGAATTAATAAAATACATTATTTACTGAATACAGCATTTGGAAGGACCACCTCTCTGGTGAAGTAATTCTTGACTACCTAGAAATGGGGCTTATTCCTGTGGGCTCTCTTCCAATTCCTTCACTCATTTCTTGAGCGTGCAACTTTTTTAGCATAATTCAAAGACTTTAGAGGGTAAAAATAATTCATTAATAGTTGGCAAACCAATGAAAACTTTTATTAAGTATTTATTAAATCAGGCATCTTCAGATTTCTATTAGACAACACTTGCCTGGATTTAAATATTGTATCTGCTATACAACCAGCTCTTTACTAATACCCAAAGGCCTTTGGTCCCAACCAAAATGATAAACAACATTATTGTACACCAAGCTTCTGAAATAAAACAGTACCTCCAAAACCAAAGTTATATTTGTTTGCTTTTACAAAGAATCGTGAAAATCCTCAAGCCGCTAAATACTTGGCTGTTAGCACTGTTCACATTTCTATCACTGTATCCAACCTAATTTAGGATGCTTTGAATTTGCTTATGATGAACGTGGCAGTGTTAAGAGTTAAGGCCTCCGTTGCTAATCTACAAATTGGGGGTTCCAATCCATCTGCCATTCCATGGGAGAAACTGGAGCAGTCTGCATTTGCAGAGCTTTACAGCCTTGGAAACCCAATGGAGTGTTGCTGCTCTAGCCTATGAACCAGAATCAACCTGACAGCAATGGATTTGGCAATACTTTTTGTGATTATTCCTGCATAATCAGTGTCATAGGCACTTATAAAGAATGTTCTTCCAAGGGTAAAAAAGTAAATGCAATCACAATTAGGCTAAAGCTTTTCATATTTGATCATATTCCTATGGTGTAAAGAGCAGTAATAAACTATAAAATCCTTTTACAAAAGACAAGAGAGGCCTCTCAGCTTGGTGACCAGTAGACACCATTCTATTCTTATATGTGACCTTGGATAACTTATTGCCGCCTCCAAGTATCAATTTCTTCACCTATCAAACAGGAGGACTGCACTGCCCTTCTCATTAGCGCTCAAGCTCTGTGCTGTGGACAGCGAGCTGCACAGTGGAGTCTGTTGGGGGACTAGGTTGAGAGGAGCCATTCAATTCCATTTTGTCCAAATGGGAAATAAAGAAACGTATGGTTCTCTCCCAAGAAAGGGAATCAATTGCCTGATCCACATAGACCAGGAGGAGGCTGAACATTATTGTTCTTGAAAACAGGAGAGGCAGAGAGGAAAAAGATACCGGTAGAATAACTTGAGAACAGCTCTAACAACACGTTTTGTTTTCAGAAAGGAAACGAAGGATACTGGGTACTTGGGTGGACTGTTGAAAACCCTGGGTGCACTTGGTAACAGGAAGGTGCTGCAGGTACAGCTGCCGCCTTTTTAGGTCAGACTATCAGAGGCCCTGGATATGGTATGCTCCCTGCACTCTAAAAAGCCTATCTTTCATAAGAAAGAAGCAACACACAGGGGTGTTGTATCTACTAGATGCACCTTTGGATGAGCTTTCCCCTATTTGACAATGCTAACACGAGTTCTCGGGTCTCCAGGGAAGGAAGCAGTGCCACCCCTGCGCCCACTCACGTAATTCTGCATCAGGTCCGGATGGGTTCTCTCGATGCCATCGTCCAGAATGGTAACTACAATGTTCTTCCCCGTGTAGCCTCTCTTCCACGCTCCTTCGATATTCATGTCTGACTGGCAAGGGTGCGTGTTGTCACTGCAGTGCTGCAAAAGAATAGATATTGGATGTTAGAGATTACTGAATCGTTAAGCAATGAGAGCAAGCTGACCGAAGAGTGACTGGCTGCAATTTGGTGGGTTGCCAGGCAAGAGTAGAGGCACATCTTTCTCTCACCTAACGTGGAAGGGCGGAAAAGAAGGGAACAGGAAGGCAGGAAGGAATGGTGTGCAGAAGGATTTGCCCGTTGTGGTGGCTTAAATCTTTTGGAAGAAGCTAATAGAACGAAGGCAGAATAGTGGATTATTCGCATGTCATTTCACACAGGCACATAGCAATGATACTTGGAATGATCAAGTCTAATCCAGGACATATACTTCATAAGTTCTTAGCCAACCTAGCTACAAACGAGGACTCATTTCAGTTCGGTAGCTTTGGTGAGGTGTCAGCAGGTGTGCTACTGTGAAAACGCCATGACTGAGAGGAACTGACAGGTTGTCTGGCTTCCTTCAATACATTAAGGATGGCTCCTATACCCTAATGCACAGAGGTAGGGTGACATTCATGGCCAGATTGAGGCAGGACAGAGGAATGCCACATAATGTAGAAGGGTGAATGTACACAACACACAATAGAATGTGTATGTGCGCTTTCAAAGGCAAGCTGTAAAAACATTATATAGAGATATTTTATTTGGCAATGGTGACAACATAGAAACAGACTGAGAAATTAACTAAACCACGAGCTAGTCCCGCTGTAATTTACTAGCATTGTTCTTTCAATGTCCGTCTCTTTGAAACACCCTTTGGAGTGGTGGTGTTTTCCAGGTTCCCAAGGCTCAGAAAGGTAGAAAGGAAAGGAGATGTGCTGAAATAACATAATGTCATAGCAATACGGCCACCCCAGGTCTTTCACCCTTCACTCTTTTCTGCCCGCTTTGTCACGCTTCTGCATTTGGGAAGTAAAAAGAATGCATAGCATTGTATGCACTAAACATCATGCCTAGTGCCATTGAGTCCTCTAATGCACACTCTACAACACACTGGTGGGTAAGAGGTAGGCAAGACCCAGACGCTCCCAGCAATAAGGATTCTCCAGGGAGGAGATATAAACAATAGAGAAATGAGTCCCCAAGACCATTCAGAATGCTCGCTGGGTTCAACACCATTCATGTGGAGGAGGGCTCTGGGTTCGGGACGCCTGGAGAGATGGTCAGAAACACTCCAGTCTGAGAAAAGTGAGGCGTGAGCTGAGGCTTGACTGCTGAGAAGGAACCTGATGGCTCAGGGACCGGGAGATAAGTGCCCTGGGAGAGAGGGCACTCCATCATAGGTTGTGGGAGGCAGGAAGGGGTTCACATACTAAAGAAAGAGCAAGAAAGCTGATATGAATGAAGCCATATGGGTGGGGGAAGAATGACAGAGGCAGAGAATTACGAGAGGCCCGGCGAGATTGTGTGGATCCATAGCCAATAATCACTTGGCTTCTATCCCAAGCACAATCTCTTTCTAGACCTCATCTCTCAGCATCATGTTAATTCCTGATATATATTCCCAATGCCCTTGACATAAATGTGTTTCTTCATTTATTCCCCAAAGAAGATTACTTTTTTAAAAGTATTATTAAATACTTTTATTGGGGGCTCTTATATCTCTTATCACAATCACACACATTCATCCATTGTGTCAAACACATTTGTACATATGCTGCCATCATCATTTTCAAAGCATTTTTTTTCTACTTGAGTCCTTGATATCAGCTTCTCATTGCCCCCGCCTCCCATCCAGCGCCCGCCCTCCCTCATGAACCCTTGATAAGTTATAGATTATTATTTTCACATCGGACAGCATCCTCTGTTGCCCTTCACCCACTTTTCTGTTATTTGTCGCCCGGGGGAGGGGGTTATATGTTGATCCTTGTGACTGATGCCCCTTTTCTGCCCCACCTTCCCCTTATCCTCCTGTTACCTCTATCCTCATTGTTGGCCCTGAGGGGTTTATCTACCCTGGATTCCCTGTGTTTAGGGCTCCTGTCTCTAGCAGTGTGCATGTTCTGGTCTAGTCCAATTTGTACGGTAGAATGGAAGTCATGCTAGTTAGGAGAAGGAAGCATCGAGGAATTAGAAGAAAGTTGTATGTTTCTGACTGGCTCATCTACACCAGCCTGTGTGACCATGAGGTGTTGATGGGATCGGGGATCAGGCATCTAAGACCCCGAACAAAATGATACCAAGGTGAATGAGGGGGTGGAGGGTACGGGTGGGGTGGAGTGGAGACCCAAAGTAGACAACTGGACATCCCCTCACAGAAGGGTCACAGGGAAGAGATGGGTCAGTCAGTGTGCAGTAATACACTGATGAAACACACAACTTTCCTCTAATTCTTTAACGAAGATGGCTTTTTATGGAAGATTATAAATACATCTGAATAATTTCAGGGGTTCATTCTAAGAAAAGAGGTCACCCAATTTGATCAGAGATAATACCAATTTCATACGGAAGAGCGGTTGATAGTAGTTTAATGGTCGCTTCCATCATTCCATCTTCATCGTTTCTTCTTCCAGACCACAGAAACACGCTCCATCTGCTGACCTTGTATCACCTCCTACTCCTTTTTCATCCCTGCTCAGCTCAGGTCCTACCTCTGCCCGCCGAGTTCTGCAGCCCACGCCTCTCTTTCCCTTTCCTACACTTTGTTTTACACAATTATGATCTCTACCCGTGGCAAATCCGTGTTTCAGAGTGGAACTGCCTCGCGGGGTTTTGCTTTGTTATTCTTGATTACCTGGATCAAGAGGCAGTTGTGCAAACAGAACAAGGGAATACTGACTGCATGGTTGAAAATCAGGAAAGGTGGGCATTACGGTTGTATCTTCTCGTCATACTTATTCAATCTACACACAAAGAAAGTCATCAGAGAAGCTGGGTGGCTTATTCACGACCATCAATTTGCAGATGTCACAATCTTGCTTGCTGAGAGTGAGGACGTGAGGCACTTGCTAATAAAGATCAAGGATTGCCGCTGTGTTAGACAGGGTTCTCTAGAGAGATAAAACCAAATTCCTGATAATATAATATATTTATTTATAAAGATAATTAGATATATAATGAGAAATGAACTGTTAAATTATATACAGATATATATACAATACAAGAAATAAACAGTTAAATTAGAAGCACTATAAATGGCTTAGTGCAACTCACGTCCATGAGGGAAAGTTGAGAGACTAGCAGTCCTTCCAGTCTCTATCTGATGCCAGATCTTCCTCTATTTGTAGAAAGAGCTAGGCTATGTCAGCACAGCAGCCAATCACAAGGCAGGTCACCAATTGCCAGTCCCCAGCTCCTGAGAAGTCTTAAAGGGACCTCAACTTACAGCAACACAGTCCACAGGCTAGGCGTCCCACAGGCAGTGTAGCCTTTAAACTGAGGCACAGAACAAGCAAGGCAGCCGCACACTGGTCCGATGATCACAGAGCGAGAGACAAGAAAGCCGAGACTCACCAAGCCATCCATCTGTCCGCCCCTCAGTCAATCCCACCTGCGTTTATCAGCCAGGCTGGCACAATAAACTATCTCTCAGCCAACTTCAGTATTGATTACAACTCAATGTGAAGACCAAAAGTCTCACAACTGGACCAACCAATAGGGAACAAGCATCAGGATCCATGGAGAAAAGGTTGAACCTGTCGAGGATTTTATCTTGCTCGGGTCCACAATCAATGCTCGTGGAAATAGGCGTCAAGAGTGTAAGCTTGAAAATTTCATTACGTAAATCTGCTGCACGAGAGCTCTTTAGAGAATTGACAACGAAGGGTGCTACTTTGCGGATGAAGTGCTCCTTAGAGGCAAGGATGACAGACGTTAGCCCGTGTACTTGGGATTCGTCCCTGGAGAAGGACATCACATGGAGGAAGGTTTGGGCAGTGAAGAAGAGGACAGCCCTCAGGAGATGGATTGACACAGAGGCAACCAGGCCATCCCCTGGTTGTGCACAGGGGCCCTGTGGGTCAGAACCCACTGGGCTGCACCTAATAGCGATGGCAGCAGCCTTCTGGAAGCAGATCGTCCATCTGTGCCTCCAAGTGGGTTTTAACCACCAGCCTTCCAGTGAACAGCCCAGGCCCTAATGGTTAGCACCACCCAAAACGTAAGCAAATACTGGTTAAGTAATTACACCTAAAAAAAGAGGGTATGCACTCAAATTGAATTCCAAATTCAAAACTGGTGCTATGCTTACAGCTCTGCCTTAGCTGCTGAAATGCTAATGAAGCACGTGGTGGGCCTACATGCTTTCCAGAAGGCATCACTCAGCCAAGCGCGTGGGCCGCTCCTCACCAACTAATTCAATGTAACGCAAAGCAATCCCGACAGTTTTCCATTTCATTTTCTTTCCAAACCCTGTGCTGGCCACCTGTGGCATCTGTCCTGACATGCAGTAATGCTAGTGTGGCCAAAAGGTGGGCCGCAGGAAGCAAGCGCACAGGAAATGGGTACCCACAAATGGGGTTGCCATCCTGGAGCAGAGGGATGCTGCCTGAAATTGCAATTAGAGAACTGAAGGACGCCAGCCCTCGATGGGAAACGTGTGTGGCCAAAGCGGAACACTTACGGTTTTTCACTTCCACCTCTGTGTGTAAAGGTAAAGGCTGAACCTGCCTTTCCGTGTACCACTTTTCTCTGTTCTCCTTCTCATGGAAGGAAGGCAAAGGAGGGGCAACAGCCAATTAACAGTTCCATTTGGATAATCTAATATAGTGCATAGCCAAAATGCTAAAAGTTAAACAACATATATGCTAGTTGATCAGGTCCAGGACCAGCGAGCCTTCAGTCTAACCCTAAATCCTGAATGTGCACCATAGATTTTTTTTTTTTAAGTTTGATTGTGTTAAAATAGACATAACATAAAATTCCCCATTTAGCTATTTTTTTAAATTATTTTATTGGGGGCTCCATACACACATCCATTGTGTCAAGCACATGTGTACATTTGTTGCCCTCATCATTCTCAAAACATTTGCCTTCCACTTTAGCCCTTAATATCAGTTG